AACATGTGCACATGCTAAATTCTATGTATGAATGCTGCATTAGAAAAAATAACTATAATAGTGTTATAGATTTGTGGGGGGGGGGTCCCCCTGAACCCTAGAAATTAATGAACAGTGGGATTTTGATTATTTGGACTATCAAGGGGAAGATTGGAGGTCAGTGGAAAAGTACAAGCTAAGATTTCTTCCTAAGCCAGGGCCTCACCTGGGGTAGAGTCATTAACATGACAAATGATGCTGATGGCCAATCTGAGAGCCTGGACCTAGGCAGACAGAGGTTGCCATGGTGATGGAGTGTGGGTTCAAAGTGACAGGAAAAGAGAGTCTTTAGAGCAAGGTGTACCTGAAGGAGCGTCTCCACCCCCATAATTCAGCCCGGACACTGAGGTCCAGCCCCAAGGGCCTTCTGGCGGTTCCCTCATTGCAAGAAGTGAGGTTACAGGGAACCAGGCAGAGGGCCTTCTCAGTGGTGGCACCCACCCTGCAGAACACCCATCAGATGTCAAGGAAATAAACAACTATGTGACGTTTAGAAGACATCTGAAGACAGCCCTGTTTAGGGGAGTTTTTAATGTTTGATGTTTTATTGTGTTTTTAATATTCTGTCGTGAGCTGTCTAGAGTGGCTGGGGAAACCCAGACAGATGGGGAGGGTATAAATATATTATTATTATTATTATTATTATTATTATTATTATTATTGGAAAGACTAAGATCCATCTTGGGCAGACTGGCTGGGAGAGATGCCTTGGACTTCACCACTGGGGGGGGGGGGGCTAGCTCCTCTTGAAATGATCATGCTGTAAGATCTGGACTCCCTCCATGCAGACTGAAGGTGTCAATAACACACCCTCCAACATTTCTCAGATGAAAATAGGGACGTCCCATTCCATAATGATAATTTTACTATTTATACCCCATACATATTATTGGGTTTCACCAGCCCCTCTGGGCAGCTTCTGACATATATAAAAACATAATAAAACATTAAACATTTTTCAAAAGCTTCCCTATACAGGATTGCCTTCCGATGGCTTGACGGTTAGATAGCTCCACAGGTAAAGGTAAAGGGACCCCTGACCATTAGGTCCAGTCGTGGACAACTCTGGGGTTGCGGTGCTCATCTCGCTTTATTGACCGAGGGAGCCGGCGTACAGCTTCTGGGTCATGTGGCCAGCATGACTAAGCTGCTTCTGGCAAACCAGAGCAGCGCACGGAAACGCCATTTACCTTCCCGCTGGAGTGGTACCTATATATCTACTTGCACTTTGATGTGCTTTCGAACTGCTAGGTTGGCAGGAGCAGGGACCGAGCAACTGGAGCTCACCCCGTTGTGGGGATTCGAACCGCCGACCTTCTGATCAGCAAGCCCTAGGCTCTGTAGTTTAGACCGCAGCGCCACCCACGTCCATAACCACCAACATTTCTCCAATGAAAATAGGAACATCCTAAGGACCTGACATGGTTAGTGCCACAGATCCATTGTTTGTTTTTTACTGCAAGGCTCCCTGCTTTTAAAACACACCAAGGAATAGTTTATTGCAGGGCCCAAAGCAAGGGCACTTCCAGCTGTAAATCTTCCACCAGCAACCACACCCTTAGTTAAGATGTTTAAAAAGAATCCGGAGCAAATGGCAGCTCTTAAAAAAAAAGAAAAGAAAGATAAATGCAGACTAATTAATAAGAAAAATATTGCTGTAGCCCACAAATATACTTCAGAGACTAATATAACTAATAAATTCTTACAGTTTAAGTGGCTATATAAAATGGAATGGCCAGTCAGTGACATTTTTACTGCGGCTTTTAAATGAGACGTACGAATATGCTAAGGTCAGTTCGGAGCGAAAATAAAAACAGTGGGACTGTTTGGTCTCGGAGAGAGAGCCCTGGACATTAACCCAGCCATTAAACAATAGGGTTGGTGGGTGGGAAATGGACATAAAAATCCTGATTCTAAATGGGTTATGCCACCTGGTGGATTTTCCTTGCAAAGCCTGCCATCAAAATGTACGTTAGCTGCCCTCTAGTGGATTGATTTATAATGGAATATTGGCTTCCTCTATAGAGACTCTCTGTTGCTCTGTGGATTTATGTAGGCAGGTTTCCATCGCTGTCAAACAAAACGTTGCTTTCAGGGACCACCACAATGTCACAACATAGTGAGCCACCACTGAACTTGCACCAGAAAGCAATGGCACATGCTGATCTTAAAGTACTCAAAGTGTTCAGCCCTTGCTATCTTTTCCAGCAACTGGTATTCAGAAACAACTGTGGAAGCAGTAGGGTTGCCATGTTTCAAAAAGTAAAAACCAGGACACTCCAAAAGTTGTTGAGCTGCATGAAGAAGTACTGTCCTGAATCTTACAACATTCAGCTTGATGGGATGTCCATGATGTGTTAGGGGGAGAGAGAGAGAAACCTCTCTCTATCCTCTCTCATGCATGATTGCCTCTTACTCTTCTCTAAAGTAATAATAATAATAATAATAATAATAATAATAATAATAATAATAATTTTATTATTTATACCCCGTCCATCTGGCTGGGTTTCCCCAGTCACTCTGGGCGGCTCCCAATAAAACACTAAAAACAGAATGAAACGTCAAACATTAAAAACTTCCCTATACAGGGCTGCCTTTTGATGTTTTCTAAAAGTCAGGTAGTTGTTTATTTCCTTGACATCTGATGGGAGGGCATTTCACAAGGCGGGCGCCACTACTGAGAAGGCCCTCTCCTGGTTCCCTGTAACCTCACTTCCTGCAGTGAGGGCACTGCCAGAAGGCCCTCGGTGCTGGACCTCAGTGTCCATGCAGAACGATGGGGGTGGAGACGCTAATTCAGGTATACTGGGCTGAGGCTGTTTAGGGCTTTAAAGGTCAGCACCAACACTTTGAATTGTGCTCGGAAACATACTGGGAGCCAATGTAGGTCTTTCAGGACCGGTGTTATGTGGTCTTGGCGGCCACTCCCAGTCACCAGTCTGGCTGCTGCATTGTGGGTTAGTTGTAGTTTCCAGGTCACCTTCAAAGGTAGTCTTATGTAGAGCGCATTGCAGTAATCCACGTAAAAAGTCCCTGCAACCTTTCTTCATAGGAAAGTCACTCTTGAGCATTTTGCCTCTCACGGCCATGATCCAAAAGAGGAGAGAGGTGGCGTCATGCATGGCCTTGAGGGTTAGCGATGCCACCTTGCAGCACTTGCAAGGGGGTTCTCAGTTCATGCCTCTGTTGTGCCTTGACGGGAGATGTAATGGCACTGATGAGCTGGCGGAATGTGATCCCATTAATTCAATTAACAGCGCAGGGTCTTGCCAAAAAGGTTGGTTAGCTCATCGAGGAGGAAAGAGCTTCGACGGAATTGCTGACTGGCAGCTATAACCCCTTCTTGCTTCTACAATGTACTTGATGCAGTTAATTGCTTGCTGCAGTGTTAAGATATATAGCACCAGGGAGGGCGATCTATTTAAATCTGGTGTGAGTGTTGGGTGCGCACGTGCAGGAACGCTTCAGATAAATAACTCTTTGGTCCCACAAGGAGCAAGCCCTCTTCGTGCTCTTTTGAGGAGCATTAACAAATTAGTGAATTAATAACAAACTATTACACCCCTCTCCTCTCCCCTCTCTCTTTCCCATCAGAGGGTTTCGAAGAGCTTTTACAAAGGTAAGCAAGAATTATTAGCTCCATCGTTTTTTGAGATGGAGAAGCTGGCTTAGGACCAGGAGTTGTTAATCTCTCGTGCGGCGTTCCCAGGGTTGCCAGACTTTGCTAGATTAGCTGTTTACAGTCTCCGGGAATCAGGAACACATTCTGGGGAGTTGTAACGTTCTGAAGCTCAGGAACGATTCTCAGGGATGCTTGGAGCTTTGACCTGCGCTATCCTCAAAGGCACCGGGAGGATGGCGACATTTTAAAGCAATTCATAAATAAAAGGAGCAACGCTTAAACAAAATTACTCTTGTCGGCTCCAGCTGTAAAATGCTTCCTAGAAATATATTTCTGGACGGTAGCCACAGCCAGTCTTTGTTGAACGGTCTGGAAGAAGAAAGTACCAAAGATGGTGAGTTGCTAGCAAATGCATAGTTTCTCGGTGTTTGCCCAAACAAAACACATAGGAACAAAGTGTGCTATCTTATACCAAGTCCACGTTCACACCATACATTTAAAGCCAGTGCCAAATTTATGTATAAGCTAAACAAGCTATAGCTTAGGGCCCCACTCTCTTGGGAGCCCCCCAAAAAATTAAAGGGGAAAAACCTGGATGTACATTTCCAAAATATAAGATAAAAAAACAAATAAAATAAAACCTACATACAGCAACAGTGTTTTGTGTTGTGTAGGCTCCTATGACGTAAGTAATGGGCCCTGCCTGCTAGCCTGCTCCCTAAAATATCACTGGTTTGCTCATTTCTATATATAGGGTGCCTACATTCTGCATGGACCAGTTGCATGGCAACATGTAGCATGCAGCTGCCGTTGAATGTAGGTCAAGCTGTTGTACCTGTTTTCTAATATTTAGTGCTTGTGGACTGATGATCAGGCAGTATAGACTAAAGGTACGAGTCTTATGCCTACTGATTGATTTCATGTAATTTATTTATTTTGATCCCATTATGGCTTTAGATACCTATTAGGTCCATAAATTACCATAAATTATTCAACACAAAAAACAGCGACAATTTGTTGTTGACAAAGGACAGCTGGACATATAAAGGGCCCCATTACCTTCAGTAGCTTAGGGCCTCATCAAACCTAAATCTGGCCCTGTTTAAAGCACTATAATGCCACTTTGAACAGTCATAGCTTCCCCCAAAGAATTCTGGGAGCTGTCATTTGTTAAGTGTGAGGACACCCCTGTTCCAATCATAGAGCTGCAATTCCCACAGTGGTTTAGCAATCAGTCCCTCTTCCCATGGAACACCTGGGAACTGCAGATTTTCCCTCATGGAGCTACAATTTGCAGCACCCTTAACAACCTACAATTCACAGGATTCTTTGGGGGAAGGCAGGATAGCTCAGTTGGTTAGAGTGTGTTGCTGATGACACCAAGATTGCAGGTTCGATCCCTGCATGGGGCAGCTGCATATTTCCTGCATTGCAGGGGGTTCGACTAGATAACCCTCATGGTCCCTTCCAACTCTACAGTTCTATTATTCATTTCTATGAGCCCCAGCTGAGGCCTAGCTGTGAATGATCCTTTACGTTCCTGCTGCTGTTCGCTCACGTGGCAGCTGAAACCGACATTTCCTCTTGTCCCTGTGGCTCAATTTTCTCCTTGTCTCCTTGGATCGCGTTGCACCACTTTACTGTCCTGATGTGTTTGCTGTTCCATTTGAAGAAACTTTATTGGAAGGGTCTGTGCTGCTGTTGCTACAGCCGAGCCAAACATGCAGAGCAGATGCTATCGCTTGTCAGAACAAGAGCCTAAGTGTCAGCACTTCCAGAGCAAGGCAGGGTGCCAGGAAGACCACCAATTGAGATAACCGGGACTTGGGGACAGCATCGTGCAAAGAGAGACCCGGTGCTTCTTTCAAAATAATCCGCCGTCTTCCAAAAGGCTCAGGGTTCTGTGACCTCTGCAGCTGGAAGGGGGCCTGACCCAGCAAAGCATCATGATCCGTATTTTCCTTGTCCGCTCAGTGCTGTCTGCCAAATCTTCGACACACGAACAGCCGGCACGGAGGCCTGAGTCATTTCAAAGGCCTTTTCTGAACTTGCATCTTTTTCATAAATAAACAAATGGAAACGGAAAACACCTGCTCACTCATCATCATTCTTCTCGCTTCCTTTTAAATGGAGGGATCTTGCAAAAAGCATATAGTCAGACATTTCCAGAGACGAGGAAATCATGATGGCTGCTGTGAGGCTGACAAGCTTTTCTCAAAACATTAGCCCGCAAGGCTGCCCTTGTGCATGATGGGTTTCAGCCCTCCGAAGTGTAGGGGTGAGGGAGAAATTTGGTTTCGGCTCTCATTTCAGTGCCAGTTTACCTAACAATATATTGTTACATGCCATCCCAGTCTCCAAGTGGTGAGAGAATCTAGGGGTTCCAGCGTTTATCCAGATTGGGTTCCTTGGAATGAAGGTCAGCAGAGACTATGGTGTCCTTAGGATATTCAGGAGAGGAGCAGATGAGAGATACAGGGTTTTAGTTACACATCTATCCAACCTGAGCATAAAATAGAGGAGCCAACAGCATTTGCACCCCAACAGCACAGAGCAAACGTGCCTTTGTCCCCAGCTTCCAGTCTGTTTCCCAGCTCAGCTGCCACACACTACCCGATTGTTCTCCTACCTAACAGCTAGTTGTGGGGAGGGGATGAAAGGTCCGCCCATTAGCCAGGAGAGGACCATCACTTGGTTGTAGCCAGTGTGGTGTAGTGGTTAAGAGTGGTAGATTCGTAATCTGGGGAACCGGGTTCGCGTCTCCGCTCCTCCACATGCAGCTGCTGGGTGACCTTGGGCCAGTCACACTCCTTTGAAGTCTCTCAGCCCCACTCACCTCACAGAGTGTTTGTTGTGGGGGAGGAAGGGAAAGGAGAATGTTAACTGCTTTGAGATTCCTTTGGGTAGTGATAAAGCGGGATATCAAATCCAAACTCCTCTTCTTCTTCTTCTTGCAACCTAGCACATTCTTTTGGGATGCTGATGAGGACACGTAAGTGGCCAGCTATGGTCTTTGTCTTACAAAGAAAATTGTCTGGCTAGTTCATCAATAGAATCTTCTGTCAGATTCCAACCCTCACTGGGTACAAGACCCCAAGAACTGGAAGGGAATCAGTGCATCATCCAGACCGACCCCCCAAAACTCACAAGATCGGAAACCAAAATGCAGCTTAGCGCAGTAGGTTAACAGGCAGCTTAACAACAAGATGTGAAGGAAGGCAGACAGTGGGATGAAAAAACAGACATGAAGGCTGGGAGGTGTGGGGGTTTGCAAAAGCATCTGGAGAACGTCACAGGCAAGCCCAGGCTTTGGCTGCTTCCCAGGCAAAGATCCATGTCTAACCTGGAAACATTTGTAGCTAGGTCAGGGATAGTTCAGTAGCAGATCACATGCTTGCATGCAGAAGGTCCCAAGTTCAATACCTGACACGTCCAGCTAAAAGAGAAAAAAGAATAGAAAGAGAAGTTGTTGTTGTTGATGATGATGATGTCAATATGCCACCCATCAAAACATCACACATTAAAAACTTCCCTAAACAGGGCTGCCTTCAGATGTCTTCTAAAAGTCAGATAGTTGTTTATTTCCTTGACATCTGACTGGAGGACGTTCCACAGGGCGAGCGTGACTACCGAGAATGCCCTCAGCCTGGTTCCCTGTAACTTCACTTCTCACAGTGAGGGAACCGCCAGAAGACCCTCAGAGGTGTATCCCAGTGTCTGGGTTGAATGATGTGGGTGCAGGTATACAGGGCCGAAGCCGTTTGGGGCTTTAAAAGTCAGCACCAACACTTTGAATTGTGCTTGGAAACGTACTAGGAGCCAATGTAGGTCTTTTGGGGCTGGTGTTAGGTGGTCTTGGCAGCCACGCCCAGTCACCAGTCTAGCTGCTGCCTTCTGGATTAGTTGCAGTTTCCGAGTCACCTTCAAAGGTAGCCTCATGTAGAGCGCATTGCAGTAATCCAAGTGGGAAACAACCAGAACAGGTATCTCTCTGTCACTTCAGACCCTGACACCATCTCATTATTTCTAGTTCATTGTCACTGCTCCATCTATCCTTGCAGAAATGTGATGCTAAACACATCATTAGAAAGCATGTCAAGTGATAAAGAGGAGGGCAATTTTTGCCAAGTTCATGACAGGGAATGATTCAACCTCCCCTCTCCATGCGCTATGGACTATGGAAAGATGGAGGAGTGGCTAGACTTGTTTTTTTTAAAAAAAGGCTGACATGTTTTCTAATGATGTGTTTTAGCATCCCATCTCATTTGTGTCATTTATTTATTTATTTATTCGCAGTATTATCTTTTAGAAGAAGCTGGCCGTTTCCCTATAAAAGTCTGCCTGAAAATTACAATTGAGATTTCCTCATTACCAGAAATGTTCTTGCTTGAAGTCCTATTACGTGTAAATTAGAAAACATTAATATTACCCAGGAAAGCTGTTTTCTCAGCTAGTAAGATGCTCATATCACCTCTTGATATTTGGAAACCCCAGTCCTTTGCAATGGCACAGATTACCCCCCCCCCTTTGTTTCATTCATCAAGATGTCACAGCATTCTAATTTCTACTAATTCAGCCCTAATGAGTCTCTTTTAATCAGGAATTGGCAATAGTTCCTTGTGGTCAAATGGTTCCAGTAATAATGAAAAACTACTTCGATAATGTAATGGGCTTTTAAAGATCAATGGCGTCTCTACAGTGCAAGGAGTTTGCCAACTATGAACTAAAACTGCACTTTCTTCGATGTGTCTTTTTTTAAAGAAAAAGCAGAATTCTGCAAAGGTTTTGTTTTGTTTTGTTTTAAGATGTGACAAGGCTTTGTGTAAGCCATGAGTGTGTCTGCAGGATGTTATGGATAGTTTTTGTTGTGACTTTTAGAAGATCACAGATGGAGAGGGGGACCGATTTCCAAATAAGGCTAAGAATCATTACATATGTTTTGGATCCCTTCTCTTGTCTTCGTTCCCAATGAATAAAGAACACTTTTTGTTAATACTAATCAGGTTTTCCAGATTATTAACATACCGGCGCCGAGGGTTTTCTGGCAAGATTTGAGAGGACGTATTCTGCGTTTGGCTTGCAGCTGAAAGATAGCAGGAGAGGCACATCAGAGAAAGAAGCGTAGCTACTCTGCTGCTTGTTACATCCGTATATGTACACAAACTGCTTGTGATGATGAAAGAAGGCCTAAGCCAAAGCCTTTGAAGTCAACTGAGAAACTTCTGGTAACTTCCCTGGGCTTCCTTAGGCAGCGGTGTGGAGCCACAAAGCTTGAAATGAATTTAGTTTGCATTTCAGAGGCTATGATCTACCTATACTGTCGGAGGCAGTGTGACTCTAAATGCCAATTTCTGGGAATCGCAAGAGGGGAAGAATGATGTTGCTCTAAGGTCCTGCCTGTGGGCTTCCTGCAGACATCTGGCTGGACTCCGTGAAGAAGAAAATGCTGGACTAGATGGACCATTGAACTGATCAAGCAGGGCACTTCTTAGGTTCTTGTTTTGAATATGACCTCAAAGTTCTTGTTCTGCTGTGCAGCCCAGGGAAGGCTGTTCCTACCATTAGGCAGGGGGAGATGTTTCTGCCAGGTGGTAGATGCTGAGGAGCGTGGCAGTAGGTCCCCCGTCATTCCCTCAAGCCTCCAAACTTCCCTACCCTGTACCCACCAAGCCAGTCTGTTGAGAATATTGACTTGTTGTCATTATTGACGAAAAAGGTGAGACTTACCCAACACCTAAACCAGAGGTCAGAACCATTTTTTAGTTGGTGGCCACATTCCCTTGCAGGAGACTTCCAGGGACCACTTACCCAAGGGTGTGTCTGGCCAGACACGCACTATTGTCCATCCAGGAAAACAAAATAGTAATAATAATAATAATAATAATAAATAATTTATTATTTGTACCCCGCCCATCTGGCTGGCTTTCCCCAGCCACTCTGGGTGGATTCCAGCAAAGATTAAAAATACATCAAAATGTCACACATTAAAAACTTCCCTGAACAGGGCTGCCTTCAGATGTCTTCTAAATGTCAGGTAGTTGTTTATCTCTTTGACATCTGATGGGAGGGCGTTCCACAGGGCGGGCGCCACTACTGCGAAGGCCCTCTGCCTGGTTCCCTGTAGCTTTGCTTCTCACAGTGAGGGAACCGCCAGAAGGCCCTCAGCACTGGACCTCAGCTGCAGGTGGGCCGAGGCTGTTTAGGGCTTTAAAGGTCAGCACCACCCCTTTGAATTGTGCTTGGAAGTGTACTGGGAGCCAATGTAGGTCTTTCAAGACCAGTGTTATATGGTCTCAGCGGCTGCCCTCAGTCACCAGGCTAGCTGCCGCATTCTGGATTAGTTGTAGTTTCCGGGTCACCTTCAAAGGGAGCCCCACGCAGAGCGCATTGCAGTAGTCCAAGCGGGAGATAACTAGAGCATGCACCACTCTGGTGAGACAGTCCATGGGCAGGTAGGGTCTCAGCCTGTATACCAGATGGAGCTGGTAGACAGTACCGTTATAGCTCAAGGACACATTTCAGTCAGATAAAATCACCTCAGGGCTGGACTGGTAAGGGGCACGGCCTGGGAGTGCATGACCTGAGTCCAAAATGGCCAGACAGAGGAGTCCCAGCAACCAGGCCTGAGGACCCCCCACCCTGTCTAAAAGAAGACAAAGTTTGGGCAAAACACAATTCAGTGGGGAGGTCAAATGGAAAGAAAAAAATTGTTTCAGTGCTCTGGTAACAGCCCAAGCAGGTATCAGCTCCCTCCTGGCTTTATAGCCATTTGGGAAAGGTTTCATTTCTTTGCATATTAAATAAATTTCACAAAATGAATTGCTTTGGAGCCTGCCCAGTGCCCAGCACAGCGTGTTCCCTGTCTGAAAGGCAGAAGGGTTGAGATGTTCACTTTGTTCTCGCCACTCGATGTTGCGTTCAGCTGACTCATTTCATCTTAAGTAATTTCAAAGTGAATGAGGTCAGAACTTCAGAGGTGACCTCAGCTCTTCATCAGTATTTTGCTGTCTCAAATGCTCAGTGTTGGAGGAACAGAGAGACAGCGTTGGAGGAAGAAGAGCTCATCATTTGCCAGGATTTTATTTTTATTTTTTGTGAGCTTGGGGCCAAAACAGATGTGACAAGGGAGATCTGGGAGATGCTCTTCGCATCAGGGCCTGCCCAAGGCACTTTGTTACCTGAGGCAAAGAATAAGATGGCGCCCCTCCCATTCTCTGCTCAGAAATTGATAGAATGGTCACTGAATCTGATTTCAGTGTTGAGGATGGGAGAAGACTGTTCACCACCTTTGAGGGCAGTAGGGCAGCTTTGGAGGAACACCTCCCCATGGCTCTCCCCCCATCCTGCCTGTCTATTAGCTGAGGCACATGCCTAACAGTAGGGCCAACTCTGCTTTTGTTTTGTTTTTTAACTTAAAATCAGTTGTGAGGGGGATTAGATTGAGCAATATCCCAGGGAAGGAGTTATTTACATATTTTGCCTAAACCATTCCCGGTTAAATTCCTCACTCCACTTCTTCACCAGCTGTTATTAGCCCCATGGGGAAAACGTACTAGTATCATTCCTGTATTATTATTATTATTTCTCCAGTGGAGCTATTAGTGGCTCTCAGAAAGTGATTTTGAGCAGGGAAAGTGTGGGCAAAGAAACTTCTAAAAAATCATCTCCCCTGCATCCCCAGAACCATCCCTCAAATAAAAATCAGAGTCTTTCCCCATAATCTAGGGAAAAAATATCAGGAGACCCAGCTGCATGTCTGTTTTGCCTTTAAAATATGTTCCCTTTCCATAATATACCAGAAATTCCCTCTGGGATACCAATGATGTTCTTCCACTGGGTTTTTGTTTTGTTTTTACAGATAATCTCCCTACTTTTTCTTCTGCTACTGCTTATCAATTCTGTGTTGTACTTGACAACATTCTTTAAGACGTGTGAGCCCAAAATGCTGCCTTGGAATGTCTTTTCTTTTCTGCACTAATTATCTACCTGCCTAGACAAAGCAGAGGATCTAATGGATGCCTGAAAAATCCCTTTTCATTAGGCAAATGAAATGCTGCCAGAATAGGTGACAGATGGCAGCTATGAAACGGCCAAGGGCTGAAGGTTTACGGATGTTTTGGTGTGTGGTAGTTCTTCCTTCTCCTCAAGAAGGACAGGATCACTGGATAGCTGAATTGGTTAGCGTATGGTGCTGATAATGTCAAGGTTGCAGGTTCGATCCCTGTATGGGACAGCTGTGTATGGGCTGGACTAGTCAGTGTTTCCCAAACTAGGGTCTCCAGCTGTTTTTGGACTACAACTCCCATCATCCCTAGGACCAGTGGTCAGGGATTGTGGGAATTGTCATCCAAAAACAGCTGAAGACCCAAGTTTGGGAAACAATGGACTAGAGAAATCAACGGTCTTTTCAATTCCTTTGGTATCTCTGCACCTACAATTCCTAACAAATAGGCTTCTGGTTTTTTTTAACAAAAGTCATTTTAAACATTTTCTTTAATTCATTATATATCATTTCCCAGAATTCCTTTATCATTTTACAGTTCCACCACATATGATGAAAGGTGCCCACAAGTTGCCTTTTCCACAGCTCCTACACACAGGGTTGAAATCTTCATCCAGCTATCCACTATGACCCCAAGATCTCATCCCTGGCCTGTCACTGCCCTCTCAGACCCCACGAGTGTATATGTAAAATGTATTACAGTTATGGTTTTTACAACTAGACTTTCCACCAACCCCATCCTTCATTTTAAATTCTTTTCCATATTCCAGAAACTTCATTTTATCATGATTATTTCAGTACGGTACAAAATAGCTGCAACTGGTTGTTGTTTTTTAACCCTAACCTTTGTAGTTTGCTCAGCAGAGTTGATAAAAAGGCTTAAAGGAACAGTTAAATTTGTGTGTAGATAATTCATCCAAAGGATCTGGAATGTATAAACATGGCACTCCTCCCCCCCTCTCTCTCTCTCTCTTTCTTTCTTTCTTCATTGTGCCCTTTAAAATTTGATCCAAGCCTGGGAGTTAAAAAGTCCCATTTTGTGTAATCAGGTTTGGGTTGAACATGATTGCTGAATTATTTTAAATTGAAGACACATGTTTTGCAGACTGAACTCTGTATATTATTCCATGATGGTGTCCATTAGGTCTTATCCGCAGGGGCTATCTTCATTCCTTATGCACTGGGATTAACAAATGGCGAAGCATGCCTGTGCGGACACAGTCAGGAGAATGTGGTACTAGTTAAGGAAGGTAAAAGTTGGGAAATTATCCTGCATGCATTATTCAAGGCTTCTCCATCACCCCTTCCCCCTACTGCCTGGAGTCCCTGGGGCTGTTTAAAAGTGTTATTTTAAAACAGTCATAGAGGTATTTGCAAATCTATAGCACTCATTCATTTTTCAGCCTTGCATTTAGCATTGAACCAACATTCACTTTAACCCCTTTGTCAGCTCCAAAGGACTCTCAGGAGCCCATCGTGCATCTAATGGCTGCATTGCCATATGCTGTGCTTTTATAAGATGTCTGTCCCTGAACTCCATGTTTCAATGCAGTATTTTTCATAGGCAGATGGACCATTATATAAATGGAAACATATTTTCGCGGATACTCCCCGAGGTAGGCGAACGTCATTAAGTAGATATTATTCTTGGAGCATTGTGAATTAAAGCTACATAGTTTCCCTAGCCAGGCAGCACCAACAGGGGTTGTTCACAGACCCATATTAGAAGAGGTAACTACAGGTTATCAGAGCTTGAATAAAGAGACTGTTGGGTAGTTTCCCCCACCACTCCTGTGGTGTAAGCTCTGCTTCCCACCTTCTTCCCTTTAATGTTGTTGTTGTTTAGTCATTTAGTTGTGTCCGACTCTTCATGACCCCATAGACCAGAGCACGCCAGGCACTCCTGTCTCCCACTGCCTCCCGCAGTTTGGTCAAACTTGTGTTAGTAGCTTCGAGAACGTTGTCCAACCATCTGGTCCTCTGTCGTCCCCTTCTCCTTGTGCCCTCCATCTTTCCCAACATCAGGGTCTTTTCCAGGGAGTCTTCTCTTCTCATGAAGTAGCCAAAGTATTGGAGCCTCAGCTTCACGATCTGTCCTTCCAGTGAGCACTCAGGGCTGATTTCCTTAAGAATGGAGAGGTTTGATCTTCTTGCAGTCCATGGGACTCTCAAGAGTCTCCTCCAGCACCGTAATTCAAAAGCATCAATTCTTTGGCGATCAGCCTTCTTTATGGTCCAGCACTCACTTCCATACATCACTGCTGGGAAAACCACATATACTTGTCTTCAAATGCAGAGCTGGTGTCTTTTTGTCTTCGCTCCAAGCTTCCCTCTTTTATGATTTGGGCATGTCATCCTCCCGTTAAATGCTTATTCCCTGAAACAAAGCCCAAAATTAATTTTATTAATGGTCAAAGACACATGCCAATCAACACCGTGGCTAGCCAGTCAGCTCTCTGCACAACTGGCCTTGGGTTCTCTTACAGGGGCTGGCCAATCAGCATTCTGCAGAGGTAACTTCTTCTGGAAACAAAGAGAACTCGTTGCTCCCGAGGTTTTCTCTCCGATGAAGATTGTAAATCTGAACAAAACCGAATGAATGCGAAACTCTGTGGGACTTACCGTTCAAGCTATGGGTATCTAGTTAGATGAGAAGAGAAATTCTAAAATCCCAAGGAAAAATAAGGCAGAGCAGCAGATCCAGAACCACATCTCAAGCCTTGACACTCATGCCAGACAGGGTACAAGATGGTCGGCAGTTTCCTTCTACTTTTTCTGTGCACCAAGCTGGTTCAGAGGATTCACAGGACCTTGCGTTCTATAGATCCAAAAGTTCTATAGCCCCAGCCTCACCACAACGTGTGTGTGTATGTGTGAGTACTTATTTTTGCGCAGGACTGGTCCTACCATTAGGCAAACTCAGGCAGGCAGCTCAGATGTCAGATACTGGGGAGCAGAGGGCGATGATAAGGTGTTACATGGCAGAGCTGTGGGTGCCACATTCAGTTTCCCGTACAGGCCCTCAGATGCAGTGTCCCATTGCTATGGGTGGTGTTAAATTCACCTGCCATTCCAACTGACTCTTAAAAATGGAATGGAAGGGAGGAGGGGGATATCTTGTCCTTCCTCTCATGCAGCAAAATGCCTTGGGATGACCCTGTGGAAATATTAAACACAACTCCTAAACATGTGTGTCTACACATCTCCTACGCCTGATGCGCAGCTGATTTCTATCACCTCTGAAACTTTGCAGCTTCCTTTGGCGAAGTCTTTCTGCAACCTGGAATCCCTCATCCTGATAGCTGCACCGGAGTTTAACCTTTTTTGCTATCTTCTACTCAGCTACGTTAATGTGCAAAGCAGATGGGGGAAATATTACATGCCTCCTGCAAATTGCGGTGCCTTGCCCATTGTTGTTTCAAAGTGACATCACTGCTCAAATATATTTCGCTTCCTGAAATAATAGGTAAACCTCACTCTTTTTGGGTACACAGAGAGGAGGAAGTTGGCAACTGAGTGTTCTGCAGTCGTCCACCGAATATGAAAAATGGAGCGGTTGAAGTTTGGATGCGTTAACAGGTAAGAAATAGCACCCAATAGATCGGTGCCTTGATCAGTGTTCAAACGAAAAGAGAAGAAGAGAAGGGAATCTCTCTCTCTCTCTCTCTCTCTCTCTCTCTCTCTCTGTCGTGTGTGTGTGTGTGTGTGTGTGTATTAGGACCCAGTAGTGAATGGTTTGGTGGGGCAGTGGCTCCTGGCCTCCAGACAACTGGGTCACTGCTGCTTACCAGGAAAGACAGGGGGCAGGGCAATAACGTCAGCATGGTGCAAACACACCAGCAAAGCCAATCCATTACTCCTGCTGGTGCATTTTCACTGCACCAACCTCTCCACTGCCTCACCGCTTCCCTTCTCCACTGTTATAACCAGCAGCAATTTCCCTCTCTGGCAGTCAGGTGAGGGCTACTGGAAGAACCGTAGGTTAATCCACCCCTTCCTAATGCTAGCTGCACCTGTTCTTAGCTTTGCAAGCAACCAGTGTGGAAGTGGACTTACAATTGTGTAGGCACATTTCTGTTTAGCTTCCCCCCCCCCAAGGACATACCCACATACCCACATACAGGAAGATTTTGAGTTGGGGTAGAATTTGATCATTGCCTACCCAGCCACACACTGAAAATCTTGAAGTAAAACAATACAGGAAGATGCTCTTTTCCTAATCATTTGAGAAAGCAGTTTTGATACTGTGTTCTTTTCGATCACAGTGTATATGTGGAGGCTCATAGGCTACAAAACCCTACAGTAGAACCAAGTTTCTATGTTCTTATACTGTGTTTGCAGGCCTTTCCATTAGTCAAAGTGAAGAACAGTTGGTTTAAAAAAAAGGAAATAAGCTAATGAAAGATCTAAAATGGGGTGGGAGAGAAAAATAAGACCTAAAATACATGCATAATTGTGCCAGATGGATGTCATCTCTCCTTACAAACTTTTTCCAAAGTTCTAGACAATTTACAAATATCCTGCAGTTTTTCCACTGCTCAGCAAGTACATTTGAAGATTGAGGGTGGGGGGAGAGGCTGTTCACATTTTATGTTACCAGAAAGCTGTGCTGGCTCAGAAACCATAGATTTTTCTACCCTGTAGGATTACGGTCCCAATAAATGGTACCAGAGCATACTGCTGGGGGGGGGGGGAGCCAGTGTGGTGTAGTGGTTAAGAACGGTAGACTCGTATACTGGTGAACCGGGTTCACGTCTCTGCTCATGCAGCTGCTGGGTGACCTTGGGCTAGTCACACTTCTCTGAAGTCTCTCAGTCTCACTCACCTCACAGAGTGTTTGTTGTGGGGGAGGAAGGGAAAGGAGAATGTAAGCCAGTTTGAGACTCCTTAGGGTCGTGATAAAGCGGGATATCAAATCCAAACTCCTCCTCCTCCTCCTCCTCCTCCTCCTCCTCCTCCTCCTCTTCTTCTTCTAGTTTGGTTTCCTGTTATGCTGACACACATGATGCAGGTCACCACTTGCTTTCCATGCTTGACCTTTGATGAGACACTGCTTGTGACCTGGTGGTGACTTGATGATAACTTATTGACTTATTCTACTTTTTATAAATACATATTGCAGGAGATAGACTACGGTTGCTCGGCTTGTGCTTTCCCTTGTTGCTTCCGTGTGTGTGTGACGTAGATATCAGGTCTGTGTGCCAGTCCCAGGAATCCAATGTGTCCCTCCA